GCCCAGCCCTAACCCACGACAGTAACACAGGGAAATGAATAATTTTCAAATGCATCACATAAAATGTCAGCTGGGATAGAAGTTAGCCTGCTCTAAATGGTTGTGGTGTTGGGGAGTTTTTGTTTCGTTCTTACTAAGTATCTTCTTGGATTTCAGCATGTTACAAGTTACTGTTTCTTTTAGCACTACTCTTTCTGTAGAGTTGTTAATATTGAAACAGGTTGAACACCGTTTCTTTGTGGAATAGGTAGTAGATGAAAGGCACTTCAGTTCTCTCATATTTTTCCTAAAGATTTTAGTACTGAAGAATTTGCTGATTATGCCTAAGTATCTTGTATGCTTCAATTTGAAATACTAGCCTAGCTCAAATAGATGAAAACTAAAAAGAGGCTGGATTATAGCTGAACGTTTGTTCAAAACTTACCATTTGGTCATAATCCTTTAGGAAACTCCAGTTCTGGTACCTTGAATAGATGTGAAAAATGCAATGTAAAATTTTCCATCTTTAAATAAAATAGTTAATGTTGGTCATATTTGAATGCATATTTAACTGCTCAGTTTTAGACTTATAGCCCAACTCTTACACCTACAAATTCTTTGTACTGAAAACTGTCTTTATTGTGGTGAAGCCCAGTGTTTTCTTTATTCCCTTCCATATAGAGCCCATACTACATGTTAGTGGGGCTTTTTTGCTAAGGGAATGTGCCAAAAAAAGGAGTGTGGCACGTCCACAGTGTATCCCTTGTGCAAATGTAGATAAATTAACAAAGTCCTGAATTACTCTAGCGAACTTTTGTCCCATGCTTTGAGCAAGACAGAGCTTATTTTTTAAATGACCGATACTCTGCTGGCAGAAGTATCTGGTATGAATTCCCAGAGCAGTATTTGCTGGGCAAACACCCAGGGGAGTATTTTGTGCAGACAGGCAGCTCTGCTAGGAGCAAATCAAATGAGAAGACCTGAGTTTTGCTCTTCACTTCAGTTCTATACCTGGTGTGGAACTACAAGGCAAATTCTTTGATTTCCTGTCCTTTGCTTTCCCTGGCCTGAAATGAAAGTTCATTGCCTCTTGTAAAAGGTCAGGAGTTATCTACAGCTGTATTTGCAGCAGGGCTCAAGGGACATTTGGGCTGACTCTCTGAGCTGGTTACTTCTGTCTATATGGTGCTGCATCTAAACTCATCAGGCTAATACTGAAGCTGTACATCCTCCTGAGTTGAGCGGGACTGTACAGCACTGCCATGTACCAAGTGGAGCCAGAAACATTGGGTTTATGTGCTGCACTCACCCGTCTGGTGTAGATATGCCCCAAGTGCAAATAAAAGCTAATTTGTGATTTTGCTGTTTATCATTATATATCTTGGTATACCAGCACAGCATAAAGGTTCTAAATTTTTTTTATCTTGCAATTCCAGCCACTATTTGACTGTAACACACTTGAGTGTTACTGGCTGGTGCTAATTACTGGGAAATGCTTGGGCCATGGACATTTGCCTACATCCACTTTAACTTAGACCACCAACATATAGCAGGCTTCCCCATCCCTGCTTTTGGAATGAGGATGTGGAGCTGAAGGACAGTGCTCTGCAGGCTATAGCTATGTAGTCTATTAAATCCAGCTTTAGGCATCTGTCCTTCACATATCTGTCCTACACTTTTTATAAGAGTTTCTGTCTTCATGGCTAAGACTGGCTCCAGGACATGCATCAGCTGTATGATGTGTTATCCTATTCTGCCGTGAAAATGAATTTCCATCAATACCCCTGACTGTGAACCCCCTGGGACAGGCACAGACAGAGATTACTTCCTGCTGCCTTGGCTAGAGAATGGGTATGGAGCATGCTGGACCCGTTCTGGAAGAGTCTGAGTGCCCAACTGGGAGAGAGGGACGTTGCCACCATGGTCCTGGCTTTGTTTGAGCTGGAGTCCTGGTGTCAGCCTTTCCTTCAGGTAAGAGGAGCCAGACAAGAGTGCAGATGCATCCCTGGGGAAATCAGAGCTGTGGTTTATATCTCCTCCAGAAGGCTGAGGAGGACAAGCGTTTTCAGATGGTTTCTCTTCCCCTACTAAAAAATCCTGAAAGTGATGTTCTTTTTCCCCCCTTTTTTTCAGCTTGGCTAGTGTGCAGCTGGAACTGAATCTGATTTTGCTTTTACCGAGGGTATTCTTCTAATAGGCATTCTCATGCTGTTTACTGAGGTATGAACATAAACACTCAAGATATGTGGCAGAAATAGAGAGAGTCTTAATTTTATATTCCTTCGGGTTACTGATGTATACACAGTCAAAGCTTAGGTTGTGTGTTTGTGCATTTCAGTTTGCTGAAACACTCTAGCAAGGGGGCATGCTCAGTGGATTTACAGATTGGGAATACAAAGTCACATTTTGGCAGAACACTCTGTTCAGCTTCCATTTCAACCATTTCCAAGAATATGAGAAGTGATAATATCAATGTGTCTGCAATCAATTAGGAAGGTTGGCACATTTATATCTCATTGTGGGATGTCTATAAAGCTAAAAGATACTTAGCATGCAATTCTTTGCATCTCATTTCAGTTTACGCCCAGCATGCCAGGAGATATTAGCATAGATTTTGTCCAGCAGAGGAAAACAGAGATAATATAATCCTATAAAGAGAGGTGTTAGGGTCTGATCCAAAGTCCCTGCAGAAGAAAATTTCCTTTAATAGCGTAATCTTTGGATCAAGGCCTAAGACCATCAGGGAGCACCAGGACTATTATTAAGATGAGTAGAAGAGGCGTGAACTGGAACAAGTGACTTACCAGATTTTTCTTCCTCTCTGTTCAGCCTCCACAAACTCTTTCCATATCTTATCCTGTTGAACCTGGTCCTGCTGCAGTGCTGCCTGCTCATCTGCCCAGGCCCGAGTAGCTGGTTGTGCAGTGACAGGTCTTCTGAGTTGGGTGCTGCCGGGAGACACAGATGGAGCTGAGGCTGGATGCCTCAGAGATGTGGTTGCTGCTTGCCAAGACCTAGCTGAAGTTTTTCTCCTGAATCCAGAACCCTTTCCTGTCTTGTCCATTCTGAGACTGGTATCCCCAGTATTATTAGGTATAGTGTAACTGTTAGGGAAGTTAAATCTGCTATTGTTTGCACTTCCAAAGCTCCTTCTCTCCTATTGTGTTCTTTTAGCTGCCGATTTGGAGTGCTTTCAGAAAACAAAGGTGCACAGCAGCGCTGACAGGCAGTGCTCCATGCTCTTCTACTTCCCTCTTATTTAATGCTCATTTCCTACGGCTTTATGCTGCTTTGTTGCTTGAACGCTGAAGGAGATTTCATGGTAACAGCAATTTTGTAAGACATAACGGTTACTCAAAGCTATCAGATCTCCAGCTGTAACCAGCAAACTCTCAGCTTACAAGGCGATTACTGCTGCCTGCAGCTGAGAGCGCCCTCTGTTCAAAATCCTCAGAACAATAAAAACTGGTTTAGTAGCAAAGGGTGCTGTGGAAATGGCTGCTGAGTGTATCAGGATGACTTTTGTTGTGGTTATGTAGCAGAAGCAAAATCTCCTGAAAGCTGCTGGTTTCCCCGGTGTGTTTACTGTCTCCATTGGAAACGAGTCTGGCTTGGGAATATTCGCTAAAAAGGGAGCAGAGACCCAGTGGGACAGCTGCCGGGGCCTTGAACTCTATTTGAAACAGAGCGTGTTTGTTTAAAATAAGGTATTTGAATGAATCTGGGCTTTGAAAGCTCTTTATTTTCACATTTTTCTATTTTTTTTTTTAAAAAAAGAGCAGCCAGAGATCATCAAAAGTCCTTTTTAAGTACTTAAGAGATTTCTGCAGAAGAGACTAAACAACTATGAGAAGTAGTTTTTAAGTAACTTTAAAGGGTTATTCATACATAAAGTGAGTATTTTCAAAACAGTATCCAAAATGTCACTGTTTGTCTTTACAATCAGTCTGTTGGGGTTTTGTGGTATGAAGTCACTTCCTCAAGTATTTGTGACCTTGCAGGAAAATGAAGTATTTTAAGTATAAATTTCCTCTGAAATTCTTGACTGACTTGTTTTTAAGTAGTGTGGTAGTGTGGATTAACTCCAGAAGAATTTAAGCCTTTTGCTTCATAATCCTGGTAAACGCTAATGAACTTTGAATCTACTTTTTTAGGGTTGTTTTTTTTTGCAAAGTTATTTTCTTGCAATATTGGGAAATCCATGCTGAATTTGGCACATAATTTCTTGTAAAATAGTTACAACTATACAACAATCCAAACATTTAATATGGACATATTTAAGCAAGAAATATTTCTATATTTGGAAAAATTACTCTGACTATGAAGATTGCAATAACATAACTTAAGAAGAGGTAAACTCCGCCTCAAATCACAATATTTCCTTTGAGTTTGAATGAAATTTTGGTAGATTTCTTGTTTATTTATTTGTTTTTCTAAGATAATCAAAACTCATACAGTGCTTTTCATCTCCTTCAGCCAAAAATAAATAAAAAAATTAATGTATCCACACAGTGTGATCACAAACTGAAGAAATGAACAGCCAGAAATACTTGGCCTGATAGTTGCCTCTGTCCCTTTTGTGGAATCTGCTTGTCCTGCTCCATTCGTTCCAGAGTCCTCTCCAAGTTGGAGTGTGTGCAGCTGGTTGGAGAATGGGGCTTTAGCAGCATCTAACTGCTTTAAAAGAAAGCTGAGGCGTGTTTGGAGGGACCAATGCGTTAACCGGTGCTCATGGGATGCACATGGGATGCCCATCGGTGCACAGGGATTTCAGCTCCTGATCAGAAGTCTGTCTTCCTGATAGAAGTCTGTTCCTGTACACGGAACACTTTAATTCTTGTGTTATTTTAATTCTAATCCTTCCTTCAAGTCAATTTCTGCAAATTAAGCATAATAATAAACTAAAAATCATTATTGATCAGAGTGCAGTCTTCAAAGGACTACTCGTAGCCACTGAGTACACTGGACAGAATGATTACAAGCAGGTGTTTATCAAATTTATTCCTTTGAGTGTGTCTTCCAAGATGCAGAAGTTGTAACTACCCTGGTTTTGATGCAGGTGTAAGGCTAAAAGTGCCTCTCAGAACAGCTTACTGAAAGTGAGCTCATAGGTTAAAGCCAGATCTGTTGTTCTGACACCCCACAACCTGAGGAAAGACTTTTTAAGGCTTTAAACAAAAGTAAGCTATGGGTCTATATGCAGCTACTGGACACTTCATAGTGTTCAAGCCATTTCTCTGGTAATAATAGGTGGGAATAGGATCACAGATGTTTAAATAAGGGGTGGTTTTTTAAATATTGTAATAATACGACTTTAAAATGTAGCTGCTGTTCTAAAACCAGATTACTAAGAGCTGATTATTTTAAAATTAACCCATTTTCTGTTGGGACCAGAAATCATTAAGGGAGTTGTTAGGCACCATTAAAGCACATCAAGGTGAGTGCAAGGATGACATTTCTGGGCGTTAACTCTAAATTCCTTATTGGATATACTAGTAGCCCTTTAGGCACTTTACTAGATTAACAGTTCAGCAGAACTGCTGCAGATACTGACCTGTTTCCCCTCATATTACCTTCTACCAACTGAGTGATTTATTTGTTTATTGTAACAACTCAAGCCATTTAAGCAGGGAACTCGTTTGAGCTGGTACAACTGATATACCGTGTAATTCTGTTCATCGTGTAGTAGAACAGGTTGATGTTTATTGTGGCTTCATGCCATATATGTCTATGCAAATTGATTACAGCATATTTATTTTTTGTGGCTGGGGACATGAAACTTGAAAAATATTATGAGTATCACTGCAGGAAATTATGTCTTTGCTTACGAGATATTGTTTTGAGATTAGTATATCTGACAAGCAGTATTGGTGCCCATCATTCTGAGGGACAGCCTGACTGAGGTTAGTCTTCTGTTTTTGCCAGAAAAGTGATGATAGACACTGCAAATTCACGTGTGAAAAGTATGTGAGTTATTTCCCTCCCCCCTTCAAAGGAAAAGATATCTAGAGAGGCTTTTTATGGAAGAAAAATGTTTAGACAAAATATTTTTATTTGACCACAAGAGGGTATTGCAGTATCAGTTATGCAAGACTTGAGCTACTGTTTGCCTTTTGCCTTATTTTTAAAATATGTATTTCTCAAAATCTATCATTTGCATTAGGCAGTAGTTAAGAAAATCAGGTTTTGTATGTCAGTATTTGATGCCCTTGTCCAGAGGCAATTTCTGAGCTGTTTTTTCTAATTTTTTTTTTTGATTTTTATAGTAACAATTCCTTGAAACTTGAAAAATTCTCATAGATTTCACTAGAAGACAGGGACTTCAGAGGCTTGTTCTAAAGCACTGAAAAACTTAATGGAAATTGCTTGGTTAAATGCAAGAATGCATCGGTTACAGAAAGGTAATAAAACAGGAGATGAATATGTTGCTGCTTTGATTGAAAGTGGATGTTGGTCCAGGTGAGGAAGAACATCACCCCAGCCTGGCTGAACAGAGAGCTTTGCTTGGAACTCAGGAGAAACAGGAGAGTTTTGGAAGAACGGGCACTCAACTCAGGAGGACTACAAGGTTGTCATGAGATTATGCAGTAAGAAAATTAGAAGGG